CTACAAAGCTTGTGCTACATCATCCCAGTCTATTTCCAAGCCTGCCTCCCCAGCTTGTCTGTGAGCCCCATGTGGGTGGGGACCTGGCAGGTAGGGCTGAGAAGGATGAGACCAAGATCACGTGGGTGGTAGGGGTAGCTCCGAGCCCCAGGTGGAGTAGGAGACCCATCAAGGGGCTAAGCCACGTGCCAGGGAGGCTGTTGGGGGACCCCAGCTGAGTGTAGGGGAGGCTTGGGTCATGTCAGGCTCTGACCTCACCGAGCCGGGGTCAGGGTCCATGTCTGTGGTCCTAGGGTCTGGCAGGAGCTGGTCCCCTCCGGTGCTGCAGACTTTCCCGAGGGAAGGACAGAGAACCGGTTTGGGTGCTTCCCCGTGCAACCTGGAACAACATTCGTCTTGAAGGAACCCTTTGACTGTCTTCCATGCAGAGGACACTGGGGAGACAGGGACCGAGGGGCAGTGCATGTTTAAGGTCCCCCAGAGTAGGCCCTGCCAGGGGATCCTTGTCCCTGTCCCTTCTCCAAACCTCCATTTCCTTGCATGACCCTTGAGGCTTCAGGAAGGCATCGGCTAGGTTAGCGCCACACCCTGAGTGTGGGCTCTAGCTCCCAGGACGTGGTGGTCGGGCCTTGGCCTTCTGCAGACACACGTGCTTTCCTGGGTGATTCTCGCCATGCCCATGGCTTCCACATTGGCTAGAAAACGTGCCTCTTGCACTTGTTCTGAGCAGACAAATGCAGGGCAGGAAGCCATCCCTCCTCCCAAAATGTACCAGCTCCTCTGTCAGGGAAAGTGCCTCCTCCCTGGCTGGGGATGGGGTGGGGGTTGGGGGCGCAGGTATGCTTTGTGTGCAGCACCTGCCCTCAGGCCTGCTGTGAGGCTTCTCAGCCTCAGCAGCTTAGAGGGAGGGAAAGGTGGCGAAGGGGAGGTGAGGGGAAGGCTCTGAGGACACTGAGTCTGGCTGTCGACACCTGGGCAGCACCCAGACATGCTCACCACACCTTACAATTTAGTGAAACACCCATTGGCCCCTGTGATGGGAAAAGCGACAGAGGCAAGGGATGGCTCTCTGAACTGCCACCTGGAAGAATTAGAATCAGGGTTTGGTGCTGGAAGATACAAGGATCTGATTACTGAGAAAGCCCCAGGCTCGGGTGTGTTTTCTCTGGCTGCTTGTCTCACACCTTAGAGGGTCAGGGCATCTGCTTTGGCACCAGGTGGACCTGAGACCCCAGCTGGCGGCCCTGCCCTTGGGCTGTGTGACCCTGGGCAGGAGCCGCCTCCACGCCCATCTGCCTCTCGGTCCAGCGGATGAGATGGCGGTAATAGTCACTCCAGGAGTGCTATAACCCCTGCCTGGATCTAGCATCTTCTTGGCAAGTGAGGATTGGAATGTATTAGAGCAGCCGTGTCAGACATCAGAGCTGTTGCAGGTGTGTGTGTGGGGCGGAGGGGGGGCACTTCGAGACCTCCAAGTCCGACTCCACCATCTGTCCAGGAAAGAGTAAGACCCGGGAAGTGACAGGCTATCCTGGTGGAACTCGAGGCTGGGCTGTGTGGGCCTGCCCTGTGCCCAGCCTGTGGGAATGACCCCTATTTGAAAAGTCCCCTAAACTAGAAAGCTCATGCTCTTCCTCTGGGAGGTTATTCGGGTGTGCCTGCAGAATTGGGGTGCACCCTGAAGTTGGGGTGCACTGAGCAGAGTTGGGCACTCTGGGCAAGGGTGCATTCTGTGCAGTTGGTGCAACAAGCAGACTTGGGTGCTCTATGCAGAGTTGAAGCTCTGGATTGGGGTGTGCTGCGTGGAACTGGGGTGCATTCTGTGCAGTCAGGGTGCAGTGTGCAGAATCAAAGCACTGGGGACAGTTGGGGAAGCCCTTGGAAACTCCCTGAGGCCTTGGGCCAAGAGCACAGCTGCAGAGACAAACAGGATATGGGGTGTCGGGCCACAGCAGGGGACAATGCCCAGGAAAGGAAACGTGTCCAGTCCCTTTTATGGATGTGGAGCCTATCTGGGGCAGCTTTCAGTACCATTTCCAGAAAAACAAAGGGAGAAGGAGCCAAGCATCTCGTGTTCTGCACATTGTGGGGTTCTGGAACATGGGCAGACTGAAAGGTTTGGGGTCCCACCATACAGATACGGGCCACAGTCTGGGAGGGGCAGGGGCTGCAGTGGGCTGGACAGGGAGGGTTCGATGCCTGTGCCAGGCTTCTGTCTGCAGCCCCCGGGCCTCCCCGAGCAGTGACACAGGCCAGCCCTGGGCTGCAGAGTGGGCGGCAGGGCCAGGGAGGTCACCCTTAGAGGGCCTGGACAACCCTGCCCCCTGCTCTCACACGCCTTGGCCTTGGGAGATGCCCGGACACTGAGCACTTGTACAATGAACAGACTTTTAAGGGTAGCTGTGGCAACAGGCTGGACTTGGCCTGCTAGAGATGTCCTGCATCTCATTTAATCCTCATGAGGATCCAGAGCAAAACCACAGAAGAGCATCTGACCCCCCCCCCCCCGCCGGGGCTTCTCTGAGTATCCAAAACACCAAGGCCGTATGGCTAGCCAGCAGCTCTGACCTTGGACGCAGGGGCCTACGTCCTACCCCATGTGGCAGCCTGAGCTCTACCCTCCTGTGAGGCCTGAGGAGAAGAGCAAAGGCCCATCTGCGGGCATCTGCGGTCATCCACAGGTCCCAAATGCCACTACCAAGGGCCTTGGGTACCTGTGTCTGGATGGAGGAGGCAGGCTCGCCCAGGAGAGTGGCCACAGCAGGGGAACCTGTCCTCCAGAGCAGGTTCAAGGAAGCCAACTTCTGAGGTCCAGTGAGTCCTTTGCAAGAGGCAGGGTATCCTCGGTTCCAGGGCTGTGAAGGCAGAAGTATGGGGAGCTGGGCAAGGTTGGGGGTGGAGCTGGAGCAGATGGGAGGGTGGGGAGATGGAGCAGTAGGTGTCCTCGAGGAAGGGGTGGTGAGGACTTGCCCTAGGAGGAGCTTCAGGACGGGACATCCGGACCTCGTTTAGGCTCCCCTGGGCCCCAGAGGTGGGGTCTGCAGGATGCTGAGGCTGAGGGGAGCCCCGGCGGGAGGCACTGCGGTCAGGCAGGCAGGCATCAGCGTTCACCGACTGCCCTGGCCGGAGTCTAGGTGTACAGGGCAGGATGCTGGCCCCACAGGCGCATCCACGGGAGCCTCCGAACACAATCTTGTTTAGGAAAAGGGTCTGTATAGATACAATTACGGTGAGAATCGCGAGAGGAGAGGGACTCCAAAAGCAATGGGAGTGTCCTTTTATGGAGGAGAAGAGGAGCCACACAGAGGGTGGCCGAGTGCTGATGGAGGAGCATGTGGCCGGGAGCCCAGGAGCGCCCCAGGGCCCTGGAGGCTGGAAGAGGTGGGAAAGACCCTCCTGGAGCCTCCAGAGGGAGCGCGGCCCTGCCCACATTGATTTAGCCTTCTGGCCTCCAGACCCGGAGGGAATAGACCTCCGTCACTTTATGGTACCCAGTCCATGGAGCTTTGTCACAGCAGTCCCAGGACATGGGCACGGAGGCCATCACAGCTGTCCTTCCAAGAGACACTGAGGGGACAGCCAGGCTTGGAGAGGCCACATGTCCCAGTGGGAAGGAGGGGCGGCCTGTGAATCGGCTGCCCCCTGCTCTCAGGGCTCCCGGTCCCCTGGGACCCACACAGTAGCTTCAGATTCGCCCCCGTGACTCTGCCTGTGAAAACGTCCTCCCCGACCCTTGGCTCCCTCTGTGTAGTGTCCATACAGTGGGACCTGGCTGGTCTGGGCATGCTGGAGGCCCAAGTGTCGGGCCTGGCTCTGTCGGTGAACTGCTAGGGTCCCTGAGGCAAATGGCTTGCCTGCTCTGGGCCTCAGTGACCTGCTCTGCCCAGCAAGGTACCCTGGCCTCGTGCTGGCCCTCATGCCTGGGCTCCAGCCCCGTGGGGAGGGAGGGGAACTTGTGACTTTGGGTGGCAGCACATGACACCAGGAGCTGGTAAGAGAAAGTTGTGTCACCTGGAGGCAACTTGGCCTGGAGCAGCGGTTCTGCCGGATGTTGCCCCAAGGTGACTAATGTCTGGAGGTGTTTGGTTGTCACAGCTGGGGTCTGCAGGGTGGAGGGGGTAACTGGCCTCTAGTGAACCAAAGCCAGGGATGCAGCTGAAATCCTAAGTGTGCACAGCAACCCCTCCCCATGACAGAGAGCCATCACCCCAAGTGTCAGTGGTGGTGCCCTTAGAAATCCTGGCGTAGGGGCCTCAGTGTCTGTCAAACCCAGTTCTGGGCTCCTCTGGTTGTCACTGATCTTGGGCATATCCCACGACCTCTCTGACCTCAGCTTCACTGTCTGTAAAACAGTCACGTTGCCACCGTTACCACCGCTACCACCGAGTCAGAGGTGTTTCCTGGCTATCCTGCACAAGACAGAGAAGGTCTCTGTCCTGCCCTTGATCCTGGGGCCTTGCTGGGTCCCAAAACCCGTGGGAAGTCAGAGAACGAAGCGGGGTACCTGTGGTCCAACCTCCATCCGTCCCTGGTGGGCCAGTGGGCAGGCAGGAGGCAGCACCCGGCCGAGGGAAGTGGTGCACATGTGCCTGCATGTGAGTGCACGTGTGTATCATGTGTGTGCATACCTTCATGTGCATGCACGTATGTGTATGTGTGTCACGTGTGAATGTTGTGTGTGTGTGTCATGTGTGCCATGTGGGCGTGTGTGCACTAAGCAGAGGAGGAACAGAGCAGAGCCGAGGTTGGCACGGCCGTGGGGTGGGCAGCTGGTGCACTTCCTTAATCCTGGGGGCCGAGGCGGGAGCCTGGGTGTTCCCTGGCGTCGATCTCAGAGCTGGGGGTTCTGGGCAGTCGGCAGGCAGATCGGGGCCTGGAGCTGGTCCAGGGAGGAGCTAACAATCAACGTGAGGCGCCCTGGGCCTGCCTCTCCCACCGGCCCTGGCGCAGGGAGGAAGTGTGGCAGGAAGCAGGGGGTGGTGGCGGCCGCCGTGCAGTCAGCCGGGCCGTGGGTGGCCGCTGCCTGTCCTGGCTGGCTGAGACGGCCCGCAGGGCCAGCTGGCAGGGAGCCGGGAGCCACCACCTGGTGCCTGCCCACCACCGCCCGGGAGCTGCCTCTGAGGAGCTGGACGCAGGTACTGGGGACACCGGGACGGGCAGAACGAGGACCGGCTGAGTGGGTATCATCCACGGAGCTGGGGCTCGCCACCCACGGAGCAATCTGAAAATAGTCTGTGGACTTTCACTTTCTTGAAGAGTCCTCTGGCATCTTGGGACCGTGGGGAGCAGAGAGCTGCAGTCTGGGGAGTCTGGAAGGCTGTGGGCCAGTTAGGAGACCGCAGCCAGGAGTCCCGAGCGCCGGGAGCAGCCAATGAAGCGCCTTGCTGCTGTGATCTCGCTGGACCTCCCTTCATGTGGGCACTTAGCAAGCTTGTGCCAGGGTCTGGGCAAGGCGCAGAGCCCAGCCAGCAGGATGGAGTCCGGGTGTCGGGGTCTCCGGTGGGCCCCTGCCCTGGGCAGGGTGCCACATTGGGCAGACACCACAAGACAGCCTAGGGTGGCTCTGCAGCTGTGCCTGGCCACTCTGAGGTCACCATCTCTGGGCCTCTTTAACATCATCTAGATGGAGATGAGTGCCCTGACCAGAGGCACCAACCAGATAGTTGTAGGGGAGGACACAGACCCAGGACTTCTAATGTCAGGTCCTGCCCCTAGGTGTGTGCTCCCAGCAAGCCACTGAGACCCTCTCCTGGCTTCCAATGACCTCCCCAGGAGTACCAGACCCCCAGCTCTGTCCCTCACAAAGCAACCTTGGCAGTTAGTGGAGCTGGCTGGTGCTGGGAGCTGTGGCCTCCCACCCAGGGGGAGGCAGGGTGGGGGCTGAGATGGAGTGCGTGCAGGTGAAGGGCAGGCGCTCCAGTGCTGGACTTGGTCCCTCTGAGTTCGAATCCCGTCAGTGCCCCCTGGCCAGCTGAGTCCCTGCAGCAGCTGGCTGAGCCTGTGAAATGGGCACCGTGGCGTCCCCTCCCCCAGGTCATCAGGGAGATTAGATGGGTGTGTGTGGTCAGCACCTCAGGGTGGTGGGTGCTCAGGGACGGTCACACTGCAGTTGGTGACGATGACACATCCTATCGGGGGCATTGTGCACTTGATTCTCACAAAATGTCTGATGCAGGTGAGGTCGACCCTACCTCCCAGCAGAGAAAGCGAGAAGGCATGCGTATTACAGGAGAACCAGTGTCCCCGGGGAGGCCGTGACACAACATCTGTCCCTGGGGGGCTCCCAACAGCGGGAACCTACTCTCACCATCTGGAGGCCACAAGTCCGAAATCACAGGGTTCTCAGGACCCAGCTCCCTCTGGAGGCACCAGAGGAGGGTCCCTCTCACCTCCTGCTTCCCGCCTCCTCCAGCTCCCGGGGCTCCCAGCCACGTCCCTCCCTCTGGCCTCTGTGGTCACATGGCCTCTGCCCCATGCCCATCCACATCCCTCCTTTTATAAGACACCATCCCTGGGTTAGGGCCCCCCTGCCCCTGCAGCATGACCTCATCCTAACAAGTCAGATCTGCAAAGACCCTCTTCCCAAGTAAGGCCACCTGCTGAGGCACTGGGTGGGGTGGATCTTGGGGGACACCACCCCAGTCCAGGGGTGACCAGACAACTCAAGAGGTGCTTCTTGGTGGTGTGGACAGGGTCTATGTGCATCTAAAAGGTACTGGTTCTAGACGAGCCCCATGAGTGCTTCCACCAGACTCCCCAACCCAATCAGGACTGAAAAGGAACCACCTATCCCTCTGTGGAACCCACTTTTATTCAGCACCAGCTGTAACCCTGGAGTGTTCCTTGTGAGGCAAGTGCATCGGCTCTCCCCGTCTGGGTGGGCAGAGTGAGGCGTGGAGAGCTCTCCCAGCCCGCTGACCCCATGTCTCTTCCCCCGGGCCGGGTGCTGGCCAGGGCCTGCGGCCTGCGGCTGACCCACCAGGCACCCACCCCCCGGGGTTTTTGTCCCAGACAGGCTGAGCAAAGAGGGTGAAGGCCAGAAGGGAGGGTCTCCCCGCGATGGTGACCAGAGAGTGGCCCCCCAGGAGCCCAGGTCAGCTGCCAGGGCTGCGGTCTGGGAGCTGCATCCACTGGCGAAGCCCCGGCCTGTGAGGAGGAGCGAGGCCATTATAGGAAGCGGGGAGGGAACCTTCCTGCACAGATTGGGCCCACTTCCTCATCTCCAGCTGTGACTAGGAGCCCCCCGCCCCCGCACTGACGACTATCACCCATGGCCCCGCCTGCCCAGGCACATCCGTCACGGGGCAGGTGGGAGGGTCTCTGAGCCCAGGAAGCCTTCCCTTTGCTCTGGAAGCTGTCCCTGAGGCAGCCGGGAGCAGGCCCCTGGTGCCCCCGGACACACACACGGATGGGCCGGTCCTGACTCCAGGGCCGAGGCGAGCAGGATAGGAGGCTGCCACAGGACCCGGCACAGTCCTACGAGATGCCCAGCTGCAGGGCCCCCTGCTGCACCCAGGGTGGGGGCTAGGATGTGCCTCCTGAAGGGTAATGTGGCCGGGCAGGGGGGTGGGAGGCTTGGACCCCGACATGGGCTTCAGCAGGTCAGAGGGGAGGGACGGCAGGCTGGCCTTGCAGACCTCAGGCATCCTGGTCCCAGCACCCCCATGGTCGGCTGGGGTGTGGGAGCTGCAAGCCAGCAGGTGAAGCCAGGAGGAGGGAAAGAAACAGCCCAGGCTTGGGCTTGGCTGGGGCCTGGGCAGCACAGCCAGTACATGGAGCTGGATCCGGAAGGACAGCAAGGGGTCTTCATGCTTTACAAGGATGGAGATAGCCTAGCTGTATGTGTCATCCCCTGGGTGCTCCTTGGAGTCAGGTCCCCATTGGGGGTGGGGGTAGGGGCCCCTGGAAGCTTCGCTCCTGCAAACCTTGCCGGCCTCAGGCTGTTGGGGGCCTTTTGGTTCTGGTGCTGGAGCAGACGGGCTGTTTGGGACCAAGGCCACAGGAGGGGCACCAGAGTAATTCCTGCCAGAAACACAGTGCCCTGCTTCTGCAGCTCCTGTGGACGTTACTACCTTTCTTTCTTTTCTTTTTTCTTCTTTTTTTTTTTTATCTTTTTCTTTTGGATTATGGGAGCGATCCTGGCTTATAATGGGCTGAAAAGCAGCCCTTGCCAATCCCCAGTGGAAATCACTCTAGACCTTTTAGGGGAGGGTCCAAGGAAGGGGCAGCAGGCTGGGCGAAGCCCCCCTGTGGGCTGAGACTCCCCCAAGTGACCATCCAGGGAACCTGGGAGGGGAGCTGGCTGCCTGTGCCACTGGCTGAGCAGTGTCCCTGAGTCCTGCTGGTGTCCAGTGCATGGAGGCTTTGGGGACAGTTCACGTGTGGCTGAACTGGGTGTGTTGGGTGATGGGCAGTAGCTCCCACGGGAGCCCTGGCCTCAAATCGCCAAGGGCCAGGAAAGAAGGCGGGCAGGAGGCCTTGCCACTGACCCTGTGAGTCCTGTCCAGCTTGGGAGGAGCAGATGGCCAGGTGGATTGACCCACTTCCCTGGGAACCCGAGGGTCTGGGACTCCGTCATTGCTCTGCGGCTGCCCAGCTATGTGGTAACTCGGACCTTCCATGCTTTGCCTGGTCAGTCCTGAGCTCTTTGGACAGTTGTGGCCGAGAAGTGACCTTGGGCATATGGCTGTCTCTGGGCTCTGCCCCACCATGCTGTTGGGGCCACCTGTCAGCCCCTCTGTACATGGTCCCCACCTCCCCCGGGGGCCTCACTGACTCCCCAACCCCCTTCCCTCCCCCCACCCCCCAGTGTTGGGAATTACCCCTGAACTAACTAGCCCTGGCACATGCAGGTGGTGACAAACACTCGTGTCCAAGGCTCCCTGGGAACCTGGGTCCAGGCCCAATCCTCGGGTTCAGGGTGTTTGGAGGGAGGTGGGAACAGGCCTTGAAGGGATGGGTCCTGTATATTCCATGTTGCGTCTGATAAAGATCCAGCGGCCTCTTGGTTTTGGTGACAACATGAGGCAGGGAAATAAACCCAAGGCCCAGCATGGTTCCAGCTCCCCTCTCTTGTCTTCTAGGACTGAAGGGGACTTCCCAGGGTACAGAACCAAGCCCCCTACTCTGGGCCTCACAGGCTTTGGGGGCTCCTCTGCTTTCATGGGATGCTCGATGCTTTGGGAGCCCTCACCTCATCTATCACGACCTGTGCCCCGTGTCCTGTGTCCTGCACCCTAGCATCTCCAAGGCTGCCCAGGTGCTTCCTGTCTCTGCCAAGGGCATCAGGGTGCAGCTGCGGGACAGGACCGGGGCCAGTGGTTGCCATCCAGGCTCTGAGTTCTGCATGGCCTCCCCCGTACTCTGCCCGCTGCTGGGGACTTGCTCCCCAACATCCTCCAGGGAAGGGGTGAGACGGTGCTTTCCTGTCCCTGCATGCAGACGGAGTTCCTGCTGGCCAGTCCTAGGTTTGGGGTGAAATCTCATAGGTCATCATCAATGGTCAGGGGGTCCCGAAATGAGGGGTTCTCTTGCTTGTGCTCTTGCCGACCTTGCGCATGAGCGAGCAGGACCATTCCTTGTCTCCACTGTCTCCAAGGCGGAAGCTGAGCAAAGAGCTGGCTTCCCCCCCCCCCCGTCCCTGGGGCCCAGCTGGGGGTCTTCCCCAGCCCCAGCCCTGACCACTCGGCACCCCCGCCACCCCAGGTGTTCCATCTGAGAGGGGACTCTGTGTTCTTCCGTGTCCTCACTGGTGACAAAGCCCCAAACCCAGGAGCAGGGTGTGTCCATCTCTGGACATCTCTGATCCATGTCTCATCTCTGACCCCAGTAAGGAGGGAGGCTTAATGACTGCTCCTGGGGGCGGGGAGCAGTCGCCCATTCTGTCCTCGTTCTGCCTCGGCCACTTCCTCCTTCCCTGCCATCTGCCACCTGCTTCCTCCCCTCCACGAGCGGCCTGGAAGCGGCTCACTTCCTGGCCCCTGGGATGGGATGGTGTTCTGGGGCCCCTGCTAGAGCCCAGGCCTCTTCCAGTGTCGGAGGCAGAATCCCCGGAGCCTGGGGTGGGGAGGGGCTGTGGTGTTGTAAGGAGCCACAGGGTCCCTTGGGAACCCGAGGCCAGAATCACAGCGCTGCTGGTTGTGGGAAATGGAACTCGATGGTATCTCTGTGGGAGTCTGCTCCGGCCCCACTGGACAGGACGTGTGGGGGGCTTGCTCACGTCCAAGGTGCCAGGGTGTCCCAAGAGGACTTCTCTGTGCCCCCGTCCGTCTGGCGCTTGCAGGAATGTTTGAGCAACCATGACCTGCCCTGAGCTACTTCCTAGGGGTCTACTGATGAGCTGGAGTGGGACCCCCACCTGCCCGCAGAGACTTCCGGCCCAGCTGGTGAGAGGGGCCCAGGTCTCGGAAAGAGCCTGCGGCAGGGGTTTGTCGTAGTGGAGAAGCAGAGGCCCCCCGACTCAGGAGCAGAGCTCTGGAAGGATGTGCAGAGGCCCACCAGGCGAAGGGGAGGCGATCTCCCCTCCTGACCCCACCCCTGCACGGCACCCACGGGCGCCTGTGTCCCTGGGGAGGCCTCGCTGCTGACCAGCCCCCTCTCCTCTGCCCACAGTGGCCAGCTGGCATGCGGAGCCCCCGGGCCTGAGGCCGCAGCGGACATGGAGGGCCCAGCGGAGGCGGCCTGGGAGGAGCCGGCCACCAGGGGGAGGGGGCCCACAGCGCCCTCGGGAGGCGGTGGTGGCGGCCACAAGGTCCAGAGAGCGGCCACGGGCTCCTCAGTCATCTGGGAGCGAGCAGGGCCCGAGGAGGCCGAGGCTCTGGGCGGAGGCGGTGAGTACAGCGCGCCGGCCACCCCACCGTCCAGCCGCCCGGGAATGGAGCGCGGCGTCCACACGGTCAGGGTGCGTGTGGAGACGGCCCTGTGCCCAGTGAGACATTGTGACACACGAGGGCCCCGCTGGTGTTTCTCCAGGAGGCCGTGTGTGTCCGTGATAACAACCCTGGTGTGCTGAGGGGAGGGCCGGGAAGCTCTGGAACAGCTGCCCCCGGGGAATTTACGGCTCTGGAGTAACCTTGGCGCTCCAGGTCCTGCTGTGTCCTTAGGACTGAAGGCCCTGGGACTGCTCAGAACGGGGCGGCCCTCATTCCTCTAGGGGGCGAATGAAGGTTGTCCAAGAGGGGATCCGGGGCCACCCAGGACCAAGCCGGGGCCTCCCCCTGGGGGAGGGGATGCGCCAGAGACATGGGCATCTGAGGCCAAGCGAGGAAGGGAATCAGGGAACTGCCAGGGATGGGATCATCCGGACTGTCCTGGGGGACCCGGGGGCATCCTGACTGTACAGGGGGACCCAGGGGCATCCTGACTGTGCAGGGGGACCCGGGGGCATTCTGACTGTCCAGGGGACCTGGGAGGATCCTGACTGCAGGGTGACCCGGGGGCATCCTGACTGTGCAGGGTGACCAGGGGAGATCCTGACTGTGCAGGGGGACCCGGGGGCATCCCGACTGTGCAGGGGGACCCGGGGCATTCTGACTGTGCAGGGTGACCAGGGGAGATCCTGACTGTGCAGGGGGACCCGGAAGGATCCCGACTATGCAGGGGGACCCGGGGGCATCCTGACTGTGCAGGGCGACCCGGGGGCATCCCGACTGTGCAGGGGGACCCAGGGGCATCCCGACTGTCGCTGCCCAGCTGGACTTGGGCCCGTTTCCTGCTTGGATACCTGGGAAGCGCCTGTGTGATCTCCAGGATCCCTGTTTCTACGTCCTGGGCCCTGGGGACAAGCTGCAGAGGGAGGACCCTCCCTGAGCTGAGGACAGTCCGTTTCTCCTGCGTCCTCCCAGGGTTCCCTGCCTTACCTGCCCACCCTCCTCCGGGTCACGTGCCCGGGGGCCTGGGCTGGAGCTCAGCGATGGATGCTCAGTAGAGATCTGAATGGCCAGTGAATGATGGATGTGTGGGGAGAACACAAATAAAGCCTCACGAGGTACATGGTGGCAGCCTGAGGCATCTTTACACCTGTTTCCTCGGGTCCCCTGGCCGTGAGGAGCTGGGAAGGGCCAGGGTGACCCTCCTGGTGTGGAGTCACCACAGGGAGGGGTCCTGGCATCACTCGGTTCCAGAGCCCGCTGGGCACCCCCTCTGCTGGCCTGCACTTTGGGGTGTCTCGTCAGTCCTGCCAGGCTGTGAGCCACACCCGACCCTCCTCACAAGGCCGAGAGGGCATATGTCACCCTCGGGGAGTGATGGTGCAGACAGACCAGGATCAGCCCTGGCTGTCCCAGACCTGGGGTTCCTCCTGGGCTGCCGCCTGCCCTCTGTGGTCAGTAGAGCCGCAGCCCCCAGACAAGTGCACATCCTGGGCCCCAGATCATATAGCAGAGGTGATTTTGCAGATGGAGTTAGGAATCCAGAGAGGGAAAGAGAGGCCTGGGTCAGAATCTTCTGGCTCCAAAGATCGAGGACGGGCCACCTTCTGAGGGCACGGGTGGGCGCCCCTAGGAGCTGGAGACAGACTCCCCCCATGGAGCCTCCAGGAAGAACCGGCTCTGCTGACACCTTTTCGCCAGAAAGACCTTTCCAGACCCCAGCACAGCTGGACAATACACTCGTGTCATTGTCAGAGGCCACAAGCCTGCGGTTACCTGTTCTAGGACATGGAGAGCCTTGTACCCCTCCATCCTCCTCGGGCTTTTGTGACCTGGACAAAGGGGACACAAGGGGTCAGTGGTTTGCAGGGGCATGGATACATCTCTTCCAGAAATACTGGGGGCTTTGTGCTGGCACAGCTATGTGTCACCTGTTTTGACCTTGATCCCACAACCTTGCTCTGTTACAGATTCCACTCCTCCTGCTGGCGGCTCTGGGCCTGCTGCTGGGACCCCTTCTGGCCAGATGGGCACATACCCCACAGGTAGACATCCTTGGGCCCCACATCATGCAGCAGGGTTCAGTTTGGGCAGGACTGTCAACGTGGGATCCCTGGGCATCCCCTCTTCCCTCCAGCCCCAACTTTGCCATGGCCTGTGGGTTCAGGAAAGTCTCGTCCCCAGACTCCCCTCCCAGATGGCTATGGGGATGAGGAGGCTGGTAGGTGCGGATGGCCAGGTCCTGCGCCCAGGTTCTGCTTCGGCGCTGCCGGGGGAGGGCCCAGGATGCTGCATTTCCACGCAGGGCCTGAAGGCATGAGTGGACGGGCCAGGAGGCTGGCCCAGGTGTGGGGGCAGTGAGACTCTGGGAGGGGCCACAGGTGGGATGTGTAGTGGGGGATGCAGAGGGAGGGGCAGGGCCTGGCTTCTGGGGTGGGGGCTCCAAGGACTGGTGGGATTTCTGCAGGGCACAGACGAGGGGAGGAAGAACTGGGCAGTGGAGGGAGATGAGGTGAGAAGGAGCCCCTTACCCCTGAGACCCCACTCCCAGCTCCCGGCTGTGGTGACACAAAAACCCCAGCATTGCTGGCAATTCCCCTTTGCCTCGACACCCGCCCGTCCCCTGACTTGCCTTCCGGGTGGCCGGCGCTGCCTGTGGTCACTCACGATGGCCAGGGAGTGTTGAGCAAGCGGCAGATTATTTTGAGTCTGACAATGCCACCCGCCCTCTTACGGGAGTCGGAGGCGTCCCATCCCAGAACCAGTTGTGAAATGTTGGGCATGCTTCCCATTAGGCAGGGGGTTGGGGGGGGTGAGGAGAGACTGAGTCCTGATTCCAGAAGTCTCCATGTTGCCCTCCTCTCCCCTCCCTCTTTCTCTTCTCCTCCTTCTTCATCCCTCCTTCTCTCATTTCCCCTCCACCCCTGGGGAGCAGCACATGCTCTGGGGATCTCAGTAGCACCGTTGGGAGGTCTCTTAGCTGGGTAGGGGTGGGGGTGGGCAGAGAAGCGGTTCAGCTGGGATCTGAACTGTAGGGCCGCCTGTCAGGCAGGCCAGTATTTGGTCTGGGAGCAATTGCTCCAGGTGGAAGATGTAGTGAGTGCAAAGGCCCTGGGGCAGGGTAGGGGGGGATGCTTTGATGTCCTAGGGCAGCAGGGAGGCCACAGGCCAGAGAAGAGGTGGTGGGGGAACCAGGGCCAGAGGCTCGAGGCTGTGCTGGGGGGAAGGTGGAAAGGGTTTGCATCTTACTCTACCCAAGAAGAAAAAGCCCTAGAGCCATGCTAGCCAATACAGGAGACACACAATTCATGTTTAAATTTATCTTTAATAAAATGAAAAATCTGGTTCACACAGTTATACCGGCTGTATTTCGAGAGCTCAAGGGCTCCATGTGGCAGGCGTTGGCTGTTCAGGACAGTGGATGGCACTTCCTGAGAGGGTTGAGCGCTGGGGTGTGCGGCAAGCCAGAGCTCATCATAGGGGACCCTCTGGCTTTCCATGGGCCTGGGAACTGGAGGGAGAGCAGGGTCCAGGGCAGACCTATAGGACCGGGGCACAGGGAGGGGGGCTGTGGTGGGTTCGGCTCAGTTTGGCAGTTCCCTGGTGGACCTGTGTGCTGTGTGGTGCAGGGAGGTGTTCTTGGTCTGAGCAGGGCGGGGCCTGGGAGCTCTTTGGAAAATGGGAGAAAGGGAGAGGGGTTAGTTTGGGGGACAGGGTGGTGAGTCCTGGGATGCCTGTGGGTGTCTGCTGTAGCTTGAATGCCCCTGTCTGGTGCTCAGGTGATAGGAGAGGTCGGGGCTGGAGGTCAGGGTGATGCTGGTCACTTTGCCGAGTGTTTACTCTGTGCTGCCCCTTCCAGACCTGACCTTGCAGCTACTGGCCGTGCGGAGGAAGACTGGGCTGCCAGACCCCAGCTTGCAGCAGACCGTGAGGCGCCGGCTCCGTCTGCTGGAAAATGACAGCCGAGAGGTGGCCCGTGCACTGGGGGTGAGCCTGGCTTCTCTGGGGGCCTGGAGAGGTGGCCCATATGCTAGGGGCCCCTGGGAGGTGGCCCATGTCCTGGGGGCCAGCCTGGCTTCTCTGGGGGCCATGGGCAGGTACAAGGGTTCCAAGCCCAAGAGCAGGGACAGAGGATAGGGGTGGATCTAGGAGGAGAATGCTTGATGTCCAGACCTCTGTCCCTAAGGAGTCAAGGCCACAGGAGGGGAGGACATCCCTGGAACACACCTCATGGTGGCACTGTGACTTGTCCCTGTCTGTTCTCCTGGATGACTGGGCCACCAATCACACCCTGCAGTTCCCACCAGATGTGGCCCACTGTACACCCAGTGTCCCATTCTGGTCAGCATGCCCCCCACCCTGCCAGAGATTCTTAAAGTCTCTGTCATGGGGAGTGAAAGGGACGGTGTGTGTGGATCTTATTCTTAGATTTTGATGGAGCCAGGCCCTTGTAGACCTCCTCACAGTGGACGCTCTGGCAGGATGGTGGCCAAGGAGGGGGCTGGGCCAGGCGACTTCCCTGTGGTAGAGGTCCTGGGCTTAGGGCTGGGCAGTCACCATGTGACCTTGCAGTCAGCCTAGCCTGACCTTGGCCAGAACCCAGCTTCTGAGGCACCAGTCAGGGATGCTTAAACTTGTTACCCTACGGAGCTGAGGTGCAGGTCCAGCAAACAGCATGGGAGTACCAGCCCTGGGTGGTGCAGGCAAGGGGCGGAATCCCAGCTGTGCCATGTGCTGAGGGGCAGACCTCGAATAAGACACGCAGCCTCCATTCTCAGGCTCTTCTTCTTTTTCTTTTTTAAAAAGATTTTATTTATTTATTCATGAGCAACACAGAGAGAGAGGCAGAGACACAGGCAGAGGGAGATGCAGGCTCCCTGCAGGGAGCCTGATGCAGGACTCAATCCCAGGACCCCGGGATCACACCCTGAGCTGAAGGCAGATGCTTAACCACTGAGCCTCGCTGGTGCCCCCATTCTCAGGCTCTTAACTGGAGCCCAGAGTAGCACCCATCCACGGCACACATCCATGGTACCTCGTAAGTGCTGGTGTTATTTCCAAGCCCGACCACCACCAGGAGTGTTCATGGATGGGAGTCAGGGGAGAGGGGGTACCAGAGTTAGGGCGGATGCCTGCATCATGCTGCCCGAGGGGCTCAGTTGGGTTGCACAGGGCCGAGGGCACGGCCTACAGGGAGGACCTGGTTTGCAGAGGGTGGAGGCTGAGCCTGGGGCACACAGGGGCTCTGGGAAGGAGCAGGGCTTGGCCCAGGCACGAGGAGCCACGGCTGGCTTGAGAACCCCCACCTCGGGCTGTAAAGGACCCAGCTCTGAGCCTCCACCCCTGCCTGGGTCACTTCTGCGAAGCGTTTGTGCTGCGCAGCTCTGTCCCAGTGGCCAGATGCCGAAAGCCCCCCGCGTCCCCCGGGACCGTTCCTTCCCCATAGGAGTTATCGGCCAGGCTGCTGTCTATCCACAGTGACCAGGATCGGATCGTGGTGACCTTTAAGACTTTCGAGGAAATCTGGAAGTTCTCCACCTACCACGCTCTTGGTAAAGTGGTGGCCCTCCCAGAACTGGTTGTGGGGACTCCCCCCAGAGGACACTTGTCACACATTGAGCATTTAATGTCATAAATCGGGCTTCAGAATAGGCTGGCTCACAACAGCCGGTGCGGCGGGACTTGGGAGTTAGCGCTCACCCGCTCTCAGGGAGAAAGGATGGACGGGATGGGTGCAGAGGCGCAGGTCTGTCCCCAGACACGGGCTGCCTTCCATGTTCCTTCCTGCCCTGCAGGAAGCTTCTCCTTCACGTGGGAGAAGCTTTGTGAGGCCAGACCTCTAGGGAGGCTGAGTTCAGACCAGGCTGTCTGCAGCCCAGCCCAAGAGCTCTCTTTCTAAAGCACCCCAATCTGTTAGGAGGCACATGTGGGGTCCGGCTGCATCCTCTGGGGAAACCGTGCTCCACCACCTCGGTCCAAGGGCTGAGAGCATGGAAAATAAGAGTGACAGTGTCTTGGGCACCTGGCACAGGGCCTGTGCCAACCCCCCAGCACACGCGCTCCCCTTGAACATTCTCATCCCATCTCACGAATGCGGAGACTGAGGGTCAGACTAGTGGCTTGTCCTTGCCCACACTCGCCAGGACACAGGAAAGTCCAGGGTGTCTCCCATGGTCACTGCCAGTCCACTCAAGCCCAGATGGTCAGACCTGGAGCCTCTCTGGGTTTCAGACGGTCCCGCGAGTCCCCAAGATAGGGCAGGGCTCCCCCAGCGCCAGGGCCGCAAGGCTTCCCTGCCCCCTTTTGGAGGCTGCTGGTGACCCAGCCTGTCTGGTCCCCAGGCTTCACTCATCACTGCCTGGAAAACCTGCTCGTCGACCAGGCCTTCTGGCTGCTTTCGCCCAACGAGGATGAGGAGACAACCGTCCAAGTCCACGTGGACCAGGAGGCCTTGACGCTGACGCATGAGAGCCTCCTCACCCAGGAGGGTGAGCGCTGCACGGTGACGGTGACGTCGGCTGGCTCCACGCCGCACTGGGGACGCCCCGGGGAGGAGGGCCCCGGGAGGCTCTGGCCTGTGTGGGGACATTAACGGGGGCCTCATGCAGGAAGGAGCACATGGGGGGACTCTGGCCGGGAAATGCCCGGGCCCTGTTGCTTAGCTGTAAAGACCTGGTCAGGCCCCCAGGAAATAACAGTCAAAGGGGTTCTGCAAGCGGCACCCGTACCCCTAGGTCGTGAGCCGATGTTGCCTCAAGTACGGAGGGGGCCTCAGTAATTGGGCACAAGTCAGCCACAAACAGACCACAAAGCTGCCTGCTTCCCCTGGCCCCCGAGAAGAAGAGGGGCGGCCAGGCTCCCAGCAGTGGTCCCCTCAGACAGGGAAAATGAGGCTCTGCGCTCACAGAGTGGAGCTGGGACTCCAGGCCGGTGTCAGCTGTTTCTGTGGATGCAGAGCCTGGGCCTGGGAGACCCTGCAGGGCGGCGGCCTTTACGCGTGTCCCCTGGCAGGGAACATGCAGGGCCCGCCTGGCAAAGATCCAGCCACCTGCGGCCAGCCACACTGAAGGATGGTCTCTGTCCCTTTAAAGGTCCCTTCTTTGTCCTGTGTCCTGACCACCATGTGCGACTGACCACCAGCCCCCGGGGTGCAGGGGGCGGCCCCCAGCCCCTCGGGCGAGCCTCGAGGGGTCCCCAGGGAGAAGCAGCCTCTGCAGTGGACTCTTCTGCTCCCAGCCCTGGCACGTCCTCCGAGGAGGTGGCAGCGGTGGCCGCTCCAGAAACTTTGATTCCGTTTCATCAGTAGGTACCGACCTTTGTTTCTCTGCTTCCTGTCAGTCTCACGTGTTGTCGGGCCACATGGAGTCCGTCTGCAGGCCAGAGGAGGTGGACAGGGCCCCACAGACCTGCTTGCATCCCTATCCTGCCGCTTCCAGCCTGTGGCCATGGCAAACCAGGCCAGGCCTGGACCTCAGGGCTGCCACCTGCCTGAGGACGCTGACATTCTGTGGCAGGGCCATCCTGGCAGGAGTGTGCAGCATGGAGCTCTTGCTTCATGCTCCGGCTTGTTCTGAAATGCTTTTGAGGGCACTGGCTGCATAATGTGTGCCCATAGTAGGGAGGTATGAGGCAGATAAAGCCTGGGGAAAGCAAGAATGGGTGGCATGTAAGCTCCTGCTCGTGTGTCCAATGTGGGGCATTAACTTGGCTTGGAGCTTCCTGGAAGCCAAAGCAAAGAGAGAAACTCGATGACCTGATGTTCAGAATCTGGGAAATAACAGGCAATGGCTCAGCTTGTGTCTTAGGCTAATGGAGGGAGGTGTCCCAGGATGCCAGCCTGAGGCAGGAGGCACCTGGGCTGGACAGCATGGGGCTCCCTGCTGGCGGTGCCACACACCTGGGCCTGTGTGTGTGTGTGTGTGTGTGTGTGTGTGTGTGTGTGTGTAGTGGGGGCAGGTGCTGGAATTCGCCTGGGTCCCTGGGGGGGCTGCTGACCTGTCCAGCCTACTCAGCTTCAGGTTGCCACACATCTGAGATCCTCTCTTGTCCCACTGCAGGTGGGCTCTCAGGGTGCCCTGGGACCCCATCGACAACTCCGTGAGCCGACCTGTGACATCAGACACCCCATTGATGGGTAAATTCTTCCACTGGCCTTTCTCCCCTGGGGAAGGGGTGGGCAAGGAGGGACAGGTACCAGCATTCAGGAGGCTTCTGTGCTCACCTTGAATCCTCCCCAAGCCAGAGGAGGTAGTGAGAATCCTCTCCAGTTCATGTTGTGACAACCAGAGCTAAGAGGTCCACCAGTTGGTCCAAATTCATTTTACACAGTGAGGCCAGGACGGCCCGGGTGCTGGTCCCCGCCTCCAGGGAGCCCGAGCATTGCACTCACAGACCATCCACACGCACGACTTTCTCTCTGGCAGCACATTTGACACGCCGAGGGTCCTCACACAGGTGGGCTCGGCTCCAGCTGCATTTGCCATGTGCACTAATGGAGGCTCCTGAGGCTTAGATCTTAGGTCTTCTCTTGCAAAGACAGCATGGGCCTTCAGTGTGGGCTCCTGGTCCAGTGCTCTCTGCTCTGCCGATGCTGGCTGGTGCAAGGATGGCCTTGTGTACCCATTCAGGGACTATAAGGCCTCATGGGAGAGGCACCTATGTTTACAGAGGCACCTGTCCTGGGTGGACGCTGGCCTGGCCTGGCCTGGCCGGGGTGGGACAGAGGAGAGATCCCTGGCCTTGGAGGCTGACAGCTCTGGGTCTCAGTTTCTCATCCTCAGTATGGAGATAAGGTGCCCCCTCCAGGGATCACTAGATACCCGGCCCCTTGGGTGCAGTGGCCACGCTCCATCGCAACCCCAACCACCTGTTCCTAACTGAGCCCCCCGCCCCGGGTGTGCCCCCAACACTGACCGTGTGGCCTCCTTCCTACAGCCACGGGCCTGGCCTCGGCGGTGGCGGACTACCAGGGATCTGGGCCTGAAGAGATGACCTTCAGGGTCGGTGATGCCATCGAGATCCTGGGCGCCCAGGTGCCCGGCCTGCCCTGGTGCCTGGGCCAGCACGTGGCCTCAGGCCAGGTCGGGTTTGTGCAGACGAGTCTCATCAGTGTGCAGGGCCAAGCGTCTGAGTGAGTGGCCGAGGCCCTGCCCTCTCCTGACCTGCCCTTCCACCCCTGTGGGAATCCTGGTGCCCCTGCCCTGGGCTGACTCCTAGGTGACAATCCTGGACTGGGCCTGGGCCTCCCGCCCTCGCCAGTGTCTGGGCATCATTCGTTCCCTGGTCCCCGGGCTGGCATCCTTCCCGTCCGGCGTGCCCTGTCCTTCACCAGGGCAGGGGCTATTCTCTGAAATCCAGCGTTGTCCTGCGGATGCTATGACAAAGCACCACACTGGGGGCCAAGAACAGTGGATGGCGATTCTGTCCCAGTTCTAGGGGACACAAGTCCAAAATCAAGGTGTCCCGGAGGCGCCAGGGGAGGATTGCTTCCACATTCTTCCAGTTCCTGCTGGCTGCAGCGAGGCTTGCGTCACCCCAGTCTCTGCCTCCATCTTCACCTGCCCCCCAGCCCTGCCCCCACGCGTCTGTGTGTCCCTCTTTCTTTTTTTTTTTTTTTTAAGATTTTATTTATTTATTCATGAGAGACACACAGAGAGAGGCAGAGACACAGGCAGAGGCAGAAGCAGGCTCCCTGCAGGGAGCCCGACGTGGGACTCGATCCCTGGTCTCCAGGATCACACCCTGGGCTGAAGGCGGCGCTAAGCCGCTGAGCCACCTGGGCATCCCTGTGTGTCCCTCTTCCTAGAAGGACATTGGTCATGGATCAGGGTCCCCCCACTCCAGTGTGACCTCATCCTAACTGATTACATCTGCAAAGCCCCTTTACCAAGTAAGGTCACCTTCTGAGGTTCTAGGTGGAGATAAATGAATTTTGAGGGACCGTTCACCCCTGTGCACCACGTTGCTCCCTTTCATAAAGCCCTTCGACGACTCTGGGCCTGGCCTTCGCCCTCACCCCACCCCGTGACCCAGACCCTGGTGACCACCAATGTCAAAGGCTGCCCCCTGCCATCAGAGCAGGTGTGTTCGCCTCCTCAAGAGCAACTCTGTGTGGACACGTGCGCCTCTACGTGGGACATCCCCTCCATCCCGGCCTGCCCGTTTTCCTGGGGAGTCTCACTGGCCCCCAAGTTCCATGTCCAACAGCTCATCCCTGGGGATGCGCTTCTGCCCCTACAGGACCCCAACAGCCTGCTGGTGACATGCCTGCCCTGTCTGGGGGATTCTGAGCGTCCCTGCTGTGTGGCCGTGGGCAGCAGCAGGAGCGTCCCGGGTGAGCGGTCAGCGCGCACCACTAGGCCATCCATTGGCGGCCGTTCTGCTCCCTGAGCTTGAGCTTCCATCAGAAAGACCTCAGGCAGGGAGCCCGCGGGAGGTGGGTGTGCGGAAAGGCCTTTACTGAGTCTGTCCCGGGGCCCCCGGGCCTGGCCTCCCACACATGTCTGCAGGGGACCCTCTGGCCCTGACATCCCAGGTCATTCACAGACTGGCCCCTCCCAGAGGGAACCTCAAAGGCCACTTTGGCTTCACGAATTCAAAGTGTCTGTTGCACCTGCTGGTCAGGAGGGAGCTGGAAGCCGACCGGCCCGGAGCCGAGAGCCGCCGCTAGACCAGCGTCTCCCGAAGTGGGTTCCCCGCAGCTTTCCGTCACAGACCCGGTGGAGCTCACGCGAGGTGGGGACGCCCTCCACGTGACTGGCTGGCGGCCCGCAGCGATGCCCAGCACCGGGAAGGCAACGCGAAGTCTGACCTGCTTTCCCTGTCGGAACGCGTTGCCCACACCGACTTCACCGTCAGGACCCTCTCTCTCAGCCCCAGCGGCGGCGTTCCGTGGAACCCTGTCTGGGGAACCCTCCGTCTAGACGAGTCCTGTCATGCATCCAGGGGAGACCGCGGCTTCTGCGTGGACAGCTGGGGTCCGTGTGACTTACGCCTGCCCTGACCTCACCCAGGGTCTGAGCTGGGATGACTGCTGGGTGCGCTCGTCCGTCCGCTCCCTGACGCTAGGGTGACGGGGCTGCAGCAGAAGCTCCTCGTTTGCTCAGCACGTGTTGACTGAACATCCGTCTATGCCAGACCCTGCGCTTTCATCCTTCGTGTGATGAACCTGGTGGCCAGGCCTTTTCTCCTCTTACTTTGACATGATTTCAGACTTAGGGAAAAGTTGCAAGGAGAGCACAGGATTCCCATCATCTCTCCCCTCATCCTGATGGCCCAGATGTGAGCATGTTGTGATGCTTGTTTCCTGCTTTGCCCTCGTGTTTGAACCCTGTGGCGAGTTGGCTGCAAGCACGTGGCCCCACTCCTGGCGAGCTGGGCGGCGCGTTCCCTGAAGCCAGGACGTCCACCTGCATGCCCATGGCATGGCTGCCACAATCGGGAGACGACACTGATGCAAAGTCGCTCTCTGCGGGCCACACGCAGGTCTCGCGAGGATCCCAGTCATGCCCTCAAAACCCAGAGAAAGTTCCAGACCCCGTGGCACCAGCCTTGCCTCCTTAATCTGAAACAGTCTCCTTGTCCTTCAGGACGTCTCTGAAGAATACAGGCCTGTTATTCTGCTGAATGTTCCAGACGCTGCCCCGAGATTTTCTTTAACTTCTCAAAATAGCTCCTAGTTTCAAAGCACTTTTCAAAGTTTCAGATTATGCTGCCAATTTAGTCGTACAAGCACAAATCGCCTGTGCCTTCTCTCTCTGCTCTCCATCCTGGTTTTCATCTCCCTGACTTGGCGCAGACATGTGCCCTGTGTTTGCGTGGGGCACTGTGGGGGGGGAGCACCCACAGAGGCTGTAGGCAGAGCCGTGGGAGCACAGGATGTGAAGGGACTGAACCTGCTTGCAGCTGTCAGCCCCCTCCTCACAGGGGAGGGAACTATGAAGTGGGGCTTTGTAGGCTGCCTAGGAGCTCACCTTCCCCAGGTTACCATGACCCACGGGGTCTGTAGCAGCCTCTCCTGCTCCTGGCACCTGTCTCAGCTGGTGAGGCACCATCCAGGAGGGCAGGATCTATTTTGTTTTTGTCCCAGTGGTGAAGACATAGCAGGTGTGAGGGGTCTGTCTGTCAAATGAGTGGAAATGGGTCTTGCTTAGGAGATGTACTATCTTAAATAAAGCACCTTTTTTTTTTTTTCCAGGCTGGAAAATGTGATTTTTCTCAATGAAGAAGAAAGGTCATTCTTTAGCAATGAAGGGCGTTTTTCAGAGGAGGACGCCAGGCAGCTACTGAGGAGGGCGTCTGGCGCCGACGTGTGCACCGTGTACAGCTTGGGTAGGTTTGCGGGTGCTGGTGGTGGGGCGCTACTCCCCTCGTGCCTCCCACTAGCTTCGGGGACATCACGGGACCTAAAACTGGTCACCCCCTCCAGCCCGGTGCTCAGGACAGTTTTTGTGGGCAGGTTCCCAGAGGGACTGGGGAGGGTCTGGAGCTTTCCTACAGGGTTGCACCGACTGGTGACCGCCAGTCCCAGGAGGCACTGAGCTCCTGCTCAACAGCATCGGCCTGGACAGGCTACTGTCCCCTCAGTGGGCCGTGAATGTTCTGGCTTCCGTGCACTGCTCAAGACACCCCTGCCCTCTGACATTTCCTCTCCTGAAAGCCTGGCTTCCTCCATCAGGAAGTGAAGGAATGCAAACCCCTGGGCACTTAAAAGTGACCAGACAGATGCTGTTGCTGCCCCCAGGACTTGTAGGGGTAGCAGACAGGCCAGGTGCAGAGAGGGGGATGGAAAGAGAGGCAGGGAGGTGCCCACAGTCCCCTGAGGTTCCCGCTGCCCACCTTCCGCTTCGCCGAGAGTCCATGAGAGAGTGACCATCCTGCTGTCACAAGATGAGGGGCCTGGGCCCGTGTGGCTGTGGTCTGGCCAGGTTGCCTGAGTGCTGGGGGGCTGGGGCTGGACCCCAGGTCTGCCACCTCCTATAGACAATGCTGCTCCCTTTCACCGCACCACCCTGTGCTCAGGGAAGGCAGCTCCACGCGCAGAGGCGGGACACGTGTCAGCCGCAGTCGAGGGAGGGGGGCCCCAACAAATTTGCCGGTCGACAGTCACAGGCAGGACAGGAGAGCCGGGTTCCTTCATCCCAAGGATGCAGGGGAATACATGTGTGGACACACACACACACACACACACACACACACACACACTTACACGTAGTGCAATACGTACATGTGCACGCACACGCATGCACACACACCTACACGTCACGCAGACACACGCGTGCACACATGCACATCCACACTTGCTGCTCGCACCTGCGCTTGCCGACGCACATGCCAGGAACAGCTCCTCCAAGAACGGAGTTCAAGTTTCTAGGCTCCCACACATTGGTCTCTCTTCCTAAAACAGGCAAACTTGCATCTCAGCTTTGCAAGTCGGGCTTAAACCCGACATACGCTCTTGTCTTCCTTAGGAAGGCTGTGGGCACCCCTCAGCCGGGGGACGTTCTGGGGTCCCCTCCCCGGGGGCCGCCTAGCTTCCCGCAAGCCTGCACAGTTGTCCTAGCTGACTTTACACTTCAGACGACCTTTCCCAGACAGCTGCTCATGTCAACCCATTTTCGGGAGGCGGAAACCAAGGCTTAGGGAGGGCCCCATCACGAGGAGGGTGGGGTGCAGGTGGAGCTGCCGCCCTGATCTCCGGGACAGCAGGTGAGACTGCGAGGTGCCCAGGGTAGGGAGTGCACCCCTGTCCCCAGAGAGGTGGCAGCAGAAGCCCACGGCCTCTGAGGGGTGGGGGCAGGACAGAGCCTGTGGGCAGGGGATCCTCAGCCCCCCAACCAGGGGATCCCCAGCCCCACAGCCCCTCAGGCTGCCCCAGCCCATACCCCCTCCTGACATGGCCCCTCCCGGAGGTGCTGGCCCGAGAGTGATGCTTTTTTTCTCCCCATTTCAGACAGATTAGAAGAAGCTGAGTGTGAACAGCCAGAACCAGGTAGGCTCCTCCCACAAGATCCCCTCCTATGGGATCCGGGCTGGGGCTGGGGCGATGCCAGCATGGATGGGGGTGGGGTGGGGACCTCATGCCTCCCTGGGGGAGGGCAGATGGGCTGGACGTCAGCCCTGATGGGGAGCTGGATGAGGTGAAGTTAAGCTCCCCCTGCCGCCGTGGTGGGTCCCCTATGAACACGCCAGGCCTCCTGCAGAGCGGGGCGTCCCCTCCATAGTCTGAGCCATGCCTGGCCCCCTGCTCTGTCCTCAGCAAAGAGGGACGTCCCCTCCATAGTCTGAGCCATGCCTGGCCCCCTGCTCTGTCTCCAGCAGAGAGGGACGTCCCCTCCATAGTCTAAGCCATGCCTGGCCCCCTGCTCTGTCCTCAGCAAAGAGGGACGTCCCCTCCATAGTCTGAGCCATGCCTGGCCTCTGCTCTGTCCCCAGCAGAGAGGGGCGTCCCCTCCATAGTCTGAGCCATGCCTGGCCCCCTGCTCTGTCTCCAGCAGAGAGGGGCCTCCCTCCATAGTCTGAGACATGCCTGGCCATGGGTTCCTTTCTTGAAACCTAGACCAGCTGAAATTCTCTGCTTTGAGAGGGTGAAGGGGGTGCAGGGCCTGGATTTGGAGCTTTGTGCTGGAGCAGCCCCTTTGGGATCTGTCTCTTCTTCCCTGGGGGAGCTGGTTAAGGGATCCCCCTCCTCCCTCCACACCTCCATCTCGTCCCCCCACAGAGGATCTGCACTGGGGAGATCCTGGGCACTTGAATGTCTGAGGACCCTTTGGGGTTCCCCGGGCATGGAGTCCACCTGGATGCAAACAGGGAAGGGCCACCTGGGATTCTGGACGAGGAAGGCTCCGGAGATCCCAGGGCTGCTGTGGGGCCTCCCCTCACCCCTGCGCTCTGCTGCATGGGGAGCAGCGGGACTTGCCAGCATCAGAGGGGGTGCGCAGCAGATTCACACCCACAATGAGGTCGTCAGGTCAGACATTTGCCCCTGAACCACACTGAATTCTCGTTTATTCCTGGCCTTCACAGACTAACAAAGAGAGTTCGTTTTGAACATATTTTGTGCAAGTGAACTCAAAACAGAAGAACCTTTAGATCCTGGTTCTTTCCTTGCAGACAAATTCCCCCTTTAAGCTCCTGTTTTCCCAACAGGAAGCATAGCCGCATGCTCCTGGGCGCTGGCTGTGCCTTCGAGGGCCGACCAAAGCCAGCAGTCCGGCGAGCGAGCTCCCTTGGGCAGCGGGGTTCCCAAATTCCCCAGCACCTTGTCCCTTTAGGAGCCGTGGGCCTCAGATTCCCAAACCAGCCAGGGCAAAGGTGGAGACCCGGGGGTCTGGGAGCCATTCCTCATCTTTCCTGCCAGACATAGCCCCAGGCTGGACAGAGGGACACAGACTTCACTGTCCTCAGTTCTGTGGGTGGCTTTTGAGCGCGTGCTGACCCATAGCTCTGATCGCCTTGTGATGATTTCATGGGAGTGGGGGGGGGCTGTACCTGACAGGAGACCCCCCAAGGGCTGAGGAAATCCCACGGAGGCAGCTGTACTGGGAATATGGACATGTCTGTCCATTAAGTGGCTTTAACTCTTTCTGGAGAGAATTTTTTTTTAAGATTATTTATTTAATAGGATCACAACCTGAGCCTAAAGCAGATGCTCACCCACTGAGACACCCAGTCACCCCAGAGGGAAAAGGACTTTAAATGATCGCTGAGCGGTGCTTTTAAACAGGAAGCATAGGAGGGCATTCCTGGGTAAAAAGCTTGGCCTAAGTGATCCCTAGTCTCATAACCATGACTGAGTTCCCACTGAGTGCTGGGTGCTGGGTGCTGGGCTCCGCGTTTCATGTCAGTTTTGATGCTCAGGTAGGGGAGGCTCAGGCAGGACCTGACAGGGACACTGAGGCTCGGAGGGATGTCCTTACCCCAGCCTGGACCCAGATCAGGTGCTCATCTATCTTGGGGTTTTGGTGATTTGCAGAAATGCCTCTGCCTTCCCTGACCCCAGAGCCGCGTGAGACCCTACAGAAGGTGAAGAATGTTCTAGAACAATGCAAGTCCTGCCAGGACTGCCCGGAGGAGCCAGCATCCTGGGGTCTGTGCTCGGTGTCCAGTGGTGCAAACTCACCGGACAGTGAGGAGCCCTCCTTCTGCTTGGACTCAGAGGCCGACTGGACCCACCCGGAGGCCCTGGGCTCACTGCTGCTGTTCCTGGATGCTCCTGGGTACAAGGCCTGCTTCCGTGGCCTGTATGACCTCTCTCTGCCGGGGCTGAGCACCCTGTTTCGTGGCTTCACCGACGAGGAGCTAGCCGGGCACCTGGCCCAGGCCCGAGGGGCAGCCAAGAAGGCCGGCTTCCCCATGGCCCTCGCCAGGCTCTGCTTCCTCCTGGGCCGGCTGTGCGTGCGCAGGCTCAAGCTGTCCCAGGCCCGGGTGTACTTCGAGGAGGCCCTGGGGGCCCTGGGGGGCCACTTTGGCGACCTCTTCCTGGCAGTGGCTGTGTACGCCAACCTGGCCACCGTTCACCTGAAGCAGAAGAACAGGGACAGGTGCGCGCAGGTGGTGCCCAAAGCCTCGGCCCTGCTGCTGGGGACGCCCAGCCACGTCTGCAGCACCGAGGCCGAGTCGGAGCTCCTGAAGCATGCCCTGCGGCAGGCCATCGCCTGCCGGAGCCCCCAGGCCGAGGCCCGGGCCTGCTTCCTGCTGGCCAGGCACCACACTCGCCTCAAGCAGCCCGAGGAGGCCCTGCCCTTCCTGGAGAGGCTGCTGCTTCTGCACGGGGCCTGGGGCTCCCCCGAGGCCTCGTGGCCCATGGACGGCTACCTGCTCCTGGCGGACATCTACAGCCGGCGGTGCCTGCCGCACCTGGCGCTGAGCTGCGTCCGGGCGGCCTCGCTGCGGGCCCGGGGCTCGCCGGGCAGCGCGCTCCGAAGCGTGGACCTGGTCCTCCGGAACTGCCCGCGGCTGCACCACCCGCCCGCCCAGACGGCGCACCACCTCCAGCGGGCGCTGGCCTCCCTGGCCTCGGGCCCGGGGCAGGCGCTGCGCGGCCCCCTCTGTGCCAGCCTGGCCCGGCTGCACAGCCGCCACGGGCAGCAGGACAGGGCCATCTCCTTCATGGCGCAGGCGGTGGAGGCGGCCGCGGGCGCCGGCCGCCGCCTGGCAGTAGACTACGTGGTGGCGCTCGCCTGGCTCTACGTGCTTCACGGCCGGAGCCCGCTGGCCCTGGACATCCTCGAGTCTGTCCTGGACGTGGCCGTGGCCAGCGAGGACCAGGAGGGCGTCATCGCCAACATGGCAGCGATCGCCCTCAAGAGGACGGGCCGGACCCGGCAGGCGGCCGAGGGCTACTACCGCGCCCTGCGTGTCGCCAGGAGCCGGGGCCACCTGAGGAACCAAGCGGTGGTGCTGGCCAATTTCGGGGCGCTGTGCCTGCAGGCGGGGGCCGGGGGCCTGGCCCAGCACTACCTCCTGGAGGCCGTGAAGCTCTTCTCGCGGCTGCCCAGCGGCGACTGCGGCCAGGACTTCACGTGGGTGCTCCTGCGGCTCGGCCACCTGCACACCCGCAGGGCCCTCGCCCGGCAGGGCAAGTGCTACTACGAGTGGGCCTTTCTGGTCGCCGTGGAGACGGACCACTTGGAGGGTAAGTGCCAGCCCTGCCCTCCCCGGCCCCACTCTCCCCCGGGCTCTGGGTCGGCCGCGCTGGCTTCCTGGAGGGAAATGTTTTCCTCTCACTTCTGTCCAGAGCACGCCCGGGGTTTGCCGCTTGGAGGCAAGCGGTTGTTCTTCCACCAGTGAGAGTGTTGAATATTTGCAGGTGCCCTGGAGGCGGGCTGGGGGGCGGCTCTCGCGGGAGTATGCCAGGCTCTGTGCGGGGGGTGGCCAAGAGTGGGGCACAGATGCCCGGGTCACAAGAGCCGCGACATGGGGTGCTCATCATGATGATGGGAGGCTCCCGGCCCCGGCTCATAGGACCTGAGGGTGGAGAGGGTCTAGCCAAGCATGGGATGGAGGGTAGGCAGAAGGTGCCACCTGTGCCAAGGCCCCGGGGTGAGCAGGCTGGGCCATGCAGGGGATGGGTGTGTTGGGTGGTGGGCGGTGAGAACCTTGGCTGGGGGGCTAGGGCAGAGGCCGGGGAACCCAGGCTGTGGTTTGACATTGTTCCCGAGAGCACCAGGGAACCACTGAGGGATATAGGATATAGGACACGCACCAGGTCTGGAAGGGGGCCCTCTGGACCTCCGGGAGGAGCCCAGAGCTGGGTGCCCGGATGTGCCCTGCAGCCTCGGGCAGGTCCTGGCTGCGCTCAGAGGTTCTGCCCCTGTGCTGAGCCTGCAGGAGAACGACGGCCGCTCTGCGTCGTCTCTGAGCTGGTTTGGGTAGCTTGTCTCCCGAGGCTCGAGGCTCCACCTCTGTCAGCCGAAATCCTTCATCCTCTTCTGTGATCCTTTCATTTCCGTAAGACTTATGCCGATGGCCTCTCTTCCGCTGCTGATTCCAACACTTTACACCTTTTCTTCTGGTCTGGCTAAAGGTGAGTCCACTTTGTTCATCTTCCCAAAGACTCGTCATTGGGTTTCATGAATTTTCTCTCTTCTCAACATTACTATTTTATCTTGGCTCTTGAACTTTTGCTGTTCCTTCCTTTTGCTTGCTCTGGGTCTAGTTACCTGCTCTTTTCCTCCTGCCTTAGGGGGAGAAGTTTAAATGTTTTTTTCTGAAATGTTTCTTTGTTAATGTAGGCGTCCCTCTAAACCCTGCTGTCCTGCGTCCCGTGGGGTTGGGTACGTTGCACTTGTATCTGCACTCATTTCGAAATATGTCCTCGTTCCCGTTGTGATGTCTCCCACAAGCCGCTGGCTGTTTAGGGGCACATTCTTTGTGCCCACATATTCCGGGATTTCCTGAATTTCCTTCCTCCTGACTTCTGGTCGTGTTTCATTTGTCTCTGGAGGACGCGCTCTGTAAGACGTCAGGCCCCTCACAATTACTGGGAGTTGCTCTGTGATTCGACGTGTGGTCCCTCTCAGGAAACATGACTGAGAGGTCTCGTGGGTCGCGGGCTTGTTCCAATCATCTGTGTCCTTGCTGATGTCCGGGTCAGCTGAGTGGGGAAGAGCTCGACCGATCTCAGTCCCCAGGTTCAGGCGAGGCAAATAGGGCTGCGGTTTGGAGCCTGGCCTCGTGAAGGAGCTGGAGGCCGGTTTGAATCCCAGCCCCACTCTGCACTGTGTGCTCCAGACTCGGTACTGTGCTTGGGACTCCGCGTGCGAGCCTGCAGCGTGGGGAAGCCGGTGCTCCCTGCCTGGTCGGTGTGGTAGGAAGGCAGCGCGGCATGGTGGGAGAGGCCGGCCAGGACCCCACCCCAGGCCTGGGAATTGTGGAAGAGGTCAGCACCGTATCTGTGACCTGCCCTACCTGGGCTCATCACCATGTGCGACCTTGAGCAGGTGGCCTAGCCTGTCTGGGCTCAGTTTCCACATCTGCGATGCCCCAGAGGCTGGCACACAGCAGGGGCCTTTGGACCTTGCAAATGTCCCTGCAGTGCATGACGGTGATGCCCTCCTTTTGTCTCCCCCACCCAGGCCAGCTGCGTGCCGTCCAGTGTCTCTGTCACTTCTATAGCACCGTCATGCCCAGCGAGGCCCAGTGCGTCGTCTACCACGAGTTCCAGCTCTCGCTGGCCCGCAGGGTGGCCGACAAAGTGCTGGAGGGTCAGCTCCTGGAGACCATCAGCCAGCTCTACTTGTCCCTGGGCACTGAGCGGTGAGGATGCCGGCCTTGATCCTGGGGCAGCCTCTCCGCAGGGACAGTTTCATTCCTAGTGTCAGATAGGCCTGAGCCTGCAGGCCGGGGAGCATCCCAACCTGTACTCGGGGCACGTGGGTCCCAGGACAGCTGTCCTCTGCCCACACACCTCCCGGCCTTCCAGGGGAGGCAGAGTGTGCATTTCTGGGTCACTCTTCAGATCATGGTGACTTTTGGAAACTGACCTCTGCATTCCCCGAGTCTCCTTCAGCCAGCCCAGCTCTGGGCCGAGCAGCCTGTCCCCGACTGTCCCCTCAGATGTAAGGACTAGAGGATTCTTGTCCATGGAGTGATAGCTGGCTGTCCCGCCTGCTTCCCGTGGGCAGAGTTTCGGGGTCACCTGTCCTATGTAATGCCTACACTGCGCATCCCAATCAGGTGTGGTAAGGGACAGCCTGGGAAGATCACTGAGGACACCCTCTCCAGCGGGAGACTCTCTGAGAGGCAGGGAGGGAGCCACAGGCCAGCCTCGGCCATCCCTCCACACTCCAGGGCCTCAGTTTCACTGCAGGACTAATGGACAGTGACCTTGACAAATGCTTCTCAAAGTGGGGTCCCCAGAGCTGCAGCATCCACATCACCTGGGAGCCTACTGGGAAGGCACATTCCTGGGTTCCACCCCAGACCAGCCAAGTCCCAGACTCTGGGAGCACAGCCCTACAACCCGAGTTTGAGAACCCCTGGCACAGGTTATCTCTACATTTCTGCCCAGTGCAGATGCTCCCTGCTGCGGCCAGAGGTCACATGTCCATGTCTGGGGAGGCAGGGTAGAGACAGAGGGGCCCGCTCCTCCTCCCTGTTTCCTCCCAAGAGCCTCCTTGACTTTTGCCAGCTGAGCAGACAACCAGACAGGCACTGGGAAGAGCCCAGTCTGCCCCCATGCGGGCAGCTGGCCTGAGAGCACCTGCTCTGACCAGCTGGCTCTAATTCCAGGGCCTACAGGTCCGCGCTGGACTACACCAAGCGCAGTCTGGGGATATTCATCGACCTCCAGAAGAAGGAGAAGGAGGCACATGCCTGGCTACAGGCAGGGAAAATCTACTACATCCTGCAGCAGAACGAGCTGGTGGATCTGTACATACAGGTGCAAGGACGTGGGGCGCGTGCACCACACTCGCTGCCCCGCTCACTCTCTCCTTCGTCCCCAGAGCACGGCGGGCACCTGCTGCGTGCTGGCTGCCTATGCCACCCCCACCCCTAGATTCCCACTTCCAGCATCTTACACAGTGACCCGAGCAAGCCCCCGGGGGGCCAGAGGTGGGTGCCCCTCATGCGCCCACCTGGACTGGTACACAGCAAGTGCTCAGTAAACATGCAAATGATGCGTTCGGTCTATTAACACATGGGAGAACTTGCCTCCGCGGTATGTGGTGTGTCTCCTTAAAAATGCATTAATCACAAGCTCCATTTCCAGTTGCATTCCCAAACATGACGTGATTTGAAGTAAATTGAGAAGCTCGTGAGGGTTATGTTTTCATTTCTGAGCACCTGCTGTGTACTTCCCTGGGCCGGGGGCTGAGGATCCCGGTTCGGGAGCTTACGGCTGAGAGGGGGAGCAGACACGTCAGTAAACAGTTCTCCCACAGGGCTGCCTTGGGGCTTTAGGCAGGGACATGTGGAGGAAGGAGCCAGGAGGGTGAGCTCCAGTTGGTCTGGGGAGGCTGGATTGAGCAGCGGGGGGGGGTGGGGCCCACCTTCGAGGAGGGCTCTGGACAGTAGGATTCTCAGGGGCGGAGGCCAGATGTGCATGTGTGGCCGGTTCTGGATTGCCCGTGGGGGCTGGTCTACTCTTGTCCATTCATCTGCTGTTCGTTGAGCACCTAGTATGCACCAGGCACCTTGCTGGGCTCTGGATATGGCAGAGAAGCAACAGCCTTAGCCACCTGGTGGGAGGGACAGGCAGGTGTGTGCTGTCAGGTGTTGCCAGGGGCCACGGAGGAAGATAGTAGAGGGGAAGCTGGATAGTAGAGCCCCGCCAGGGTCTGGGACTGGTTGCAGGGATTCAGGGGCCCCCACCTCTGAGCTCCATCCCAAACTCCTGACCAGCCCACACTTGCCGACTCCCAGGGCCCTGGCCAGACAGAGTTCCCCATGGCACATAGCAGGAACCGCCGTCCCCCCTGAAGGACGAAGGTGTGGGCAAGGGGAAAGGCAGCCGCATTCCTGTTGCACATCCTCAGGGCTGCTTCGAGGGTCTAGGGGCAGCTGGGGATGCTGAGAGTCTCCGCGGGAGCGCTGTGGGCCTCATGAGAGTTTCTGCATGCCCACAGGTGGCGCAGAATGCAGCCCTATACACGGGGGACCCCAACCTGGGACTGGAGCTGTTTGAGGCAGCAGGGGACATCTTCTTCAACGGGACCTGGGAGCGGGAGAAAGCCGTGTCCTTCTACCGGGTGAGCTGGCTGATGAGGGCGGGCCTGCTGCCTAGAGGGAGGGCCGCCCCATGCACTCACTTGCTTCCTGGGTGGCTTCACCCAGGATGATCCTGACTCCCAGCCCCAACCTGGGTGGGACCACTGGAGGGACAGAGGCCACTCTGGGCTTACAGGACCTCAAACTCCTGGGAGGCCAGTCCTACTCCATCTGGCAGATAGGAAACTGAGGCCCAGAGATGCATAGGAGCACAGCGCAGGACACACAGCCCAACCATGGAGGGACCGGCATCAGGGCCAGGACTGCATGCATCTCCAAGTAGAGCAGCTGCTCCCTGCCCGGCCAGCCCACAGCCTGAAGCCCAGCCCTGGGGACAGAGAAACACCCACTTTTAGAGCAGGATGGTGTTGGGTCCTACTTGTCAGGCTCTCATCAGCCGGGGGTTGGGGGCACTGGTCTGAGGTTACTGAGACGGGCTGCAGGTCCTACCCCAGCTTGCTCATGGCCCAGCAGCCCTGTGGGCGTCAGGGCCTCTCCAAGCTGACTTTCCTCCTGGGGTACAGAGCTGAACAGAGACGCCACGGGATAACGGGGTACATTTGGGGCTTTAAGGGATACCAGGCCTGACTCGCCTGCTTGTGTGGCAGGATCGGGCACTGCCCCTGGCTGTGACCACAGGGAACCAAGAGGCAGAGCTGCGGCTGTGCAACAAGCTGGTGGCGCTGCTGGCTGAACTGGAGTCGCCCCAAGAGGGCCTGGAGTTTGCCCACATGGCCCTGGCGCTCAGCATCACCCTGGGTGAGCCCTGCACCCCAGCCCCCCAGGGCCTCCACCTCTGACACCTGCAGGGTCGACGCAGAAGACAAAAGACAGGGGGAGCCCAGGGCACCTGCGGGGCTGCAGGTCACCTCTACAGGTCCCAAATCTGCCCCTGGATGGTGCGGGGCCTGTCGGAAGTGTCCCACTCACTGGGTGGCTGGGCTCTCCTTGTCAGTTCTGTGGCTTCCTCTGCCTCTTTCCCTGCTGACCACGAGGGCCAGCCAGTGCGCCCTGGGTTCTAGACAACTCAGGCTTCTCTCTGGCCCCAACACACATGCCGAGCTGGGTCAGTCATGCTGTTCCATATGCCGTCCCTTCCCAGTGTCTGTCCCCGCACTCAGCCAGCCCCACTGTTCTCTGTCTGGCGATGTCCCAGTCCCCTCAGTGCCTGACACCCCCTGTCCCAGCACCTAAGGGTGCCATCCCAGGCCATCTGTCTTCCCCCAGAGAGAGGCACACAGTCAGTGTGCAGCAGGGTTTGTGTGCAGAGCCCACGGAGGTGGGCTGGAAATTGGAGGGAGCTGGTGACTCCCCAGGGGCGGCAGAGGAGCTGCAAATACAGCAGGAAGGGTCCCTCTCCTGTTGGGAGGCTGCCTGGAGTCCTGGCACTGCCTGGAGTCCGTGCACAGCCGGCCTGACTCTGGGGCCTCCTGCTGCCCCCTCCGGGGCCATGTGCAGGCACAGAGCTGGAACGTCCACCAACCTCGGTGGACAGGGAGCAGACAATATTAGGCCCACTGTGCAGGTGGGGAGACTGAGTCCTGGGACCGGCTGGAGCTTTTGAGACGGTGTCGGCGTGGGGGGCCAGGGCTGGCCTGTGCCCCCACCACCCCCACAGCCATATCCTCACGCGTGCCCCCGTCCCTGCGCCTCCAGGGGACCGGCTGAACGAGCGCGTGGCCTACCACCGACTGGCCGCCCTGCACCACCGGCTGGGCCACGGCGAGCTGGCCGAGCACTTCTACCTCAAGGCTCTGTCGCTTTGCAACTCGCCCCTGCAGTTCGATGAGGAGACCCTGTACTATGTGAAGGTGTACCTGGTGCTCGGTGACATCATCTTCTACGACCTGAAGGTGAGTGCGGGCGGGGGAGGCAGGGCTCAGGGCACGTGGTGGGTGGGGGAGCCGGCCCTGCTTGGAGTGGGATCGCAGATCGCAGATCCAGGCCTGGCCCCGGCCCTCCTGCCAGGTGGTCTCGGAGCCTGGAGCTCCAGGCCAGGCCGTGAGGAGCAGGCCAGGTCAGCGGATGTGGTCCGAGTCCCACACAGGCCTGGCCCTGCTCTCGAGAGCTCCACGTCCAGGCAACAGGCTGACATATGAGCAGACGTTGGCCACCACTAGGTAAAAACAAACAAAAAAGTGTGTAGTCAGGGCAGCCTCCTGGAGGAAGTAACTGCAAAGCTGAGTCTTTTTTTTTTTTTAAGATTTTATTTGTTTATTCATGAGACACATAGAGAGGGAGAGAGGCAGACACATGCAGGGAGCCCGATGTGGGACTTGACCCTGGGGCTCCAGGATCACACCCTGGGCGGAAGGCAGATGCTTAACCGCTGAGCCACCCAAGCATTCTTAACAGTCTTAACAGTCAAGTGGATGTTCGCCACCAAAAGAGTGGGGGGGATGAGGTCATTCTCCGGGGGGTGGGGGAAGAGTCACCACTGCCCCCAGATACCACGTTGTGAGGTGCTACGCAAGTCCTGGCACCTCCTCCAGGAAGCCTGCCACTGTGGGCAGAGGGATTCTTTCCTGGAATCCTGAGTCACAGAGGGAAACGGGCTAGGGATGGGTTGTGGCCTACCCCGGGGTTTGTAGCAAGGACACCCCTGCAGGCAGCCTGGCTAGATCCTGCCCTGCTGGAGCTGGGGGAGCTGGAGCTGGGGCTCTACCCGTCTCCCAGCCCTGCAGTGGACACAGACCAGAGCCTGGAGACATCTGCATGCTGCCCTACGGGCAGGTGCCCCCATCACCCCACCCTGGGTATGGTAGCACCGCACGGCACAGTGTCTCTGCTCCGTGTTGGCTGAAGGGGGGAGCAGGGGCTGAAGTCTCCACTCCCACCCCCCCATGGCACCTAGGGCCTGGGGCGGCGCTGGAAGCCGCCCACCCAGTTAGCAGCCACCAACTCCCTGCCTGGGGCAGCCTTCGCTGTGCGCTGGTGACACCTGGTGGTCAGAGGTGGTCACTGCGGCCTCCTGCTGTGTCAGAGCCCGACAGTTCTTTGGGGAGCCTGTGGGCAGTGGTGGGTACTGCAACTTAGCCTCCCTGTGTTCCAGTCTGTGTGATCCAGGTTCTGTGTGATACAGGATCTGTGTGGCCTAGGCTCTGTGATCCAGACCCTATGACATCCACACTGTGTGATCCAGGTTCTGTGTGATCCATCTATGACATCCAGACTGTGTGATGGAGGCTCTGTGTGATCCAGGCTCCGTGATCCAGGCTCTATGACATCCAGACTGTGTGATGGAGGTTCTGTGTGATCCAGGTTCCGTGATCCAGGCTCTATGACATCCAGACTGTGTGATGGAGGCTCTGTGTGACCCAGGTTCTGTGATCCAGGCTCTATGACATCCACACTGTGTGATGGAGGTTCTGTGTGATCCAGGCCCTGTGATCCAGGCTCTATGACATCCAGACTGTGTGATGGAGGCTCTGTGTGATCCAGGCCCTGTGATCCAGGCTCTATGACATCCAGGCTGTGTGATCTAGGCTCTGTGTGATCCAGGCTCTGTGTGGTTGGCTCTTCTCATGCTTTACTGTTCTAGAGGAGTGGTGCCCCCACAGGACAGGGCAGAGACAGAGGCCGGCATGGTCAGCTAGTCAGGGTAGGACTAGGAGCAGCATGGTGGAGCTCCAGTGCCAGGGACCCTGGGACCCACCACCCTCTGACCCAGTGAGCCTGCATGCTTCATGTGTGTGCCTGCTGTCCCAGGCTAGGCTCTGGGCTGGGCCTCCCCCGTGTAGGCATGCAGAGCCTGGCAGTGGGGCAGGGCTTTGGCCAACCTCACCTGAGCTCTGTCATCTATGGCGTGTGTCCCTGACCCCTGGGCCACTGAGGAACACAGCTGCACAGAGGTTATAACTCCAGAGTCTATGTGATTGGTTACTAAGCAGCTCTGCATAAGAAGGGGAAACTGAGGCTGGAAGGTGAACAAATGTGCTCAAGATAGGAGTCAGGGAGCTGGGCTCAGAGGTACTCAACCTGACACCAGGCCCTGGGGATGGGACCTTATCTCTCCATGGTCTCATGGGCAGGAAGGCAAGGTCCCTGGGCTTGGGAGGCGGGGGTCCAGTGGCTTCCCAGCTGTGCCGTGGCTGCCATCAGCTCCACGTCTATCATCAGGGGCCACAGCCGACTTCATACCCTGCAGCACAGCCCAGGAGAGACGGAGGCTCCTCTGTGCGCCCCCTGCATGGACAGGCATGGGAAAGGCTGCTTAGAGGTTGGGGGCCGTGGGCATCTCTGCCACTGTACAGCACCCCCTGTTACCTGCACATGGGGGCGTCAGGGCTGAATGAGCATGACTTGAATAGGACAGATTTGGGTGTGAATCCTGCATGTGCCCCCACTGGCTGCTGCAGGCATATGTGCACACACACGTACATGGATACACACCACTCCCCTACCACCCACAGTGGCCAGTTCCCTAGTTGGGATGTCCCCTCCTCCAGGAAGCCCTCCCATCCTATACCAGGCTGACTCAGGTGCCACCTGGGGCTCCCGCAGGCTGCTGCTCATCCCTGTGGTCAATGTGGTCCTGGAATGGGCCGTGGCTCCCGCCTCACACTGGGCCTGGTGCCTGGAGGGGCTCAGAGCAGCTCTGAGTCCCTGCTGTTCTGTTCTCCTGAGCCCACGCTCTGTGCAAGGGCAGTGAGGAGCCAGGGCTGCCGACAGTGTCCTGGGAGCCGTCCCAGGCAGCGGAGGGAAGGGCCGGGTCTGGGTTTTAGAGTGGTCCCTCGGGAGGGACTGGGGCGGACACAACAGGGAGGCTGGGCAGAGCAGCAGCCTCCGGAGAGACAGGCTCGTGAGCCCCCGCCTGCACCCAGGGCCGCGTTAGGGTCAAATCTGGCTGAGCCACCATCTCTCCCCCAGGACCCCTTCGACGCGGCCGGGTACTACCAGCTGGCGCTGGCGGCGGCCGTGGACCTGGGCAGCAAGAAAGCCCAGATGAAGATCTACACGCGCCTGGCCACCATCTACCACAACTTCCTCCTGGACCGCGAGAAGTCCCTCTTCTTCTACCAGAAAGCCCGGACCTTCGCCACGGAGCTTAACATCCGCAAGGTCAACCTGGTCCCCGAGCGGTGCTGGGGGCGGGCGCCCTGGCTGGCCCCCAGCCCCCCGCCCTGAAGACCCCGGCCCACGGGAGTGGACTCCCCACCTCTCCTGGGGGGGTCTCTGCGGGGCTTGTTTCCTGGGAGACGGGGGTCAGACAGCAACCGATGATTTTGTGGTAACCTGCTGCAGCCTGCAAGACCCCTCCCCTGGTCTGCCTCTGGGGGAGTGACAGGGACCAGGCCCCATCCCTGGGGACCCCCCTGGTCTGCATCCCATCCTCAGCTGTGACCTGGAAGGACAGACCCGGGCCGGGTCCCTCTGCCAGCCTTGCACACCCCAGTTCCTGGAGTCAAAGCATAAGACGGCTGCAGGCTTCCCTGGGCATCTTCTCCCTCACCCATCCCCTCACAGCATGTCTGGCTCTAGCTCTGCCTTCAGCCCTCAGACTGACCCAGAGCCAGCCCAGGTGGGACTGTTAGTGTCTCCATTTCCAGTTGAGGAGATGGAGGCACAGAGAGGTTAGGTGCCTGGCCCACCGTCACACAGCAGGTAGGGGGGGCAGGGTGTATACCACCTGCCCGCCTGCCTCAAGGGATGTGTCTGCATTAGAACCTAAGGGCAGGTCCTGGAAGAGGGTGTCAGCGCCTCGCTGTCTCTCCACCCCTTATCTGTGTCCCAAAGGCAACAGAGACGGGGCAAGGGAAGGTGGCCCCAGCGCTCTCCGACCTGAGCATCCTCTGGCCCAGCCTGGCCCATCACCTGCAGCCCCGCTGGCCCTGTGTGGTCTGCTGCTGAGCTTGTCTAAAGGCCCATCTGCACCGCCAAGCGCCAGGGAGCCTCGATTTACAGGCAGGGAAAGTCTCAGAGAGGCCGTGGGTCTCCCGGGTCGATCTCCCCCCACACAGCATCATGTCACTCTCCTCTTTTTCTTTAATTTATTTTGTTAAGTAAGGTGAAATTTACATAAAATTAACCATTTAAGGTGGACAGTTCAATGGCATTTTGTGTATTTACAGTGACGAACATGTTTTCATTGCCCCATGGAAACCTGTCCCTAGAAAAGTCACTTCTCCTTCCCCCTCCTTCAAGAGCCTCCTTGAGCAAGAGGGGAAGCTGAGGCCGGCAGAGGGACTGGATGGTGGGCCAGAACTCTGGGTCTGGACCTGAGCCCGGGAGAGGTTGCAGGCCCCGGGAGCCCCCGGGAAGGGGGCGAGGGATTGGGGTCTGCGGAGCCCCGGGGCCCTGCCCGCTCAGAGCTGGCCTGCAGGTTTCCCCCAGGCCTCTCACGCCAGGGAGCAGCAGAGAGCCTTCCAGAAGCTGGCGCAGAGAGGCTGCCGAACCTCCCAAACTTGACCCCAAAATGCCTTCTAGAGGGAGGGAGGGCGTGGAAAGCAGGAGGCGGCCTCGCTGTAATTGAAAACAGGACGACCTGATGACGACCTGATGACCTGCTGGTGCAGCAGGCAGCGGCCGGCACAGTAACCCCAGGACAGATCTCGGGTCACTGACTGCTGGGCGGCGCCCGGGCCTGGGCCTGCAGCCACCCCGCAGCGGACGGGGCCAGAGGGCAGGGTCACTCAGGGGCCCCACCACCTGCCTGGGAATCCGCGCCCCACCCCCTGACCTTCCCAGAGCTGTCGCTCCCACCCCCCTGCATCCAGGGTCCCACACCCCCCACCTGCCGGAACCCTGATACCTCAGGGCAGCAGACCTGGTGGTCCCAAGGGGGACTTCGGTCGCATAGCCCCTAGGTTCCCATCCCAGCCCCCCCACTTAGAGGCTGGGGACTTGGGGTGAGTTCATTTCCCTGAGCCCCAGTTTGGTCAAAGCCAAGCTGAGGCTGGTGACCCCAGTACTGGGAGTCGAGGGAGGATTCACAGAGCAGGGTGCTTGGTGCCAGATCCAGGGCTGAGGTCGCCTGTTTGTTCTCGATGATACTTAACACTGCGGGAAGAGCACCAACAACCACAGGCTGAGTCATCTGGTCAAGTCCCATAGCTTCTTAGACCCTCGGTCTCTTCTTTTGTAACCAGAGACAAACCCTACGTCAGGGTCCTGAGAAGGAAGAGTAAAGATGTGCCCGGCACAAAGCGGCTCGTGGAACTGGGCAGCCGGTCCCTTCTTTTCAGCCGAAACCAGGAGGTGGACAGAGGCCAGGACTCCAGTGTTGCTCTGCCCCTTCAGGGAGCAGGGCCTGGGCAGCACCCCCCTGACCCATCTGTCGGCAGAGTGAGTGTGGGATGGCCCGTGGCTGGCACCTGTGCACCAAGTGAGCACCCGGCCCAGAAGCCCTGCTGCCCCCACTGTAGAAGAAGGCATCCCCACCGGGTCCTTCGGGGCCCCCAGCCACGCAGGTTCAGCAGGCACCTCCTGCACACAAGCTCCGTGAACTCCCACAGGTCATGCGAGGACAAATGTCAAGCCAAATCCAGGTTGGCTTCCAGCTTTGGGCGAGGCAACACTGAGTGATGGATAATGATCGTCCCAAGGATGCACAGCGTCTGTCCTCATCCCCACCATGGAGCAACAGCAGCCCCGTTGCCTCCAAACTAGGGGCGGGCAGGGGCCGTGGAGGGTGGGTGTACCTGGCACCAAGCTGGACTCTCCCAGGCCAGGCGTCTGGGGACACAAGAGCTCGTCGCAGGGAGAGCTGGACCCCCGCCCCGCCCCACAAGCAGAGGACCTCCCTTGTGAAGGGGAAGGCAGGTCTAGGCGGCCCTGAGGGTCTGCTGGGCCCAGCTCCGTGCCCCTTCGACTCCAGGCTGCATCTCCGTCCTGTGTTTGGGGGAAGTCAGCCTGTGCTTCCCAGCCTCCGGGGCTGGCCCGGCCTGGGCAGGGGACCGCCGGCCACCAGCTTCATGACTGGGGGACCCTGTCTGCCAGCCGCAGGCTGGGCATCTGTGCAAGGCAGGGCTCTGCCTCCCTCTGACCCCATGTGACCTGGAGCACCCTGCGAAGGCCCCCTTCATGTGCCAGGGGGCCTCGCCCCTGTGAGAGCTTGATTTCCTGCTGTGTGGAGGGCGTAAGGAGATGTCCTGACTGAGCTGTTAGATTAGCAGCAGCCCATGAAGCTAGCATTTTTAACAAACCGGGGTTTACTAAGGTCACCGGTTGATGAGAAAAAGGGAAAGAAGACAAAGACACCTGTGCACCTGCCGCCCTGGCCATGCTCTCCAAGCTCCACTAGTCCACATGTGAGGCCTTGGGGTATGGCTCCTGGGAGGCCAGGAAGGAGCAGGGAGGGAAGCCCAGGATCTCAGCCACCCCCCAGCTGGCATGGGACCCAGACAGTCTGGGCTTTACCGTCTTCCTTCCCCGAGCAGAGGGCACGCTCTGGACTGGGCCTGCATCCTTGGGCTCGGGGAGCTCTACAGAGCCTCGTTCCCTCCCCAGGGCAGCCGTCTGTAACTGCAAGCACGACCCTTATCCACCCATGCTGTGCTCACCAGGCCAGCCCTCACCTCCAGCCAGAACCAAAAACATTTCACAACCTCTGTGGCTTTGGGCGGCGTTCACACGGCCTCCCAGGAAGAGGGAACGTAGGACTAGGGGTGTGACCGAGAAACGGGGCGTCCCTTCCAGACACACAGGGTGGGCTCTGCGTCTGTGACGGCTCTGCTGAGGCTGTCTGCAGGGTGGGGGGACCCCTCTGGGGACCTATTATTGTGGGGAGGTGGTGAGGCTAGGGGAAGGGCAGGGCTGGGTTTTCAGGGAAGTCCAGGGAGGGCGACGCAGCTGTGTCGGGCTCCGGAGCAGGCCCCACCCCGGGGGAGGGCAGCAGGGGTGGCAAATCCCTCACCGGGACTGGACAGGTTAGCAGCAGGCACCTGCCCTCCCATCCCCATGGGGCAGCTCCTGTGTGTAGCACGCTCTGCGTCGGCTCCTACCCAGGCTCACGGCCCACGGGCCAGCAGGGAGGACCCCGTGGAGTGTGGTCATGCCTGGTTCAGCCCGGGCTTCTCTATCCAGCACCACAGATACACCCATCCCCGACTGGGCCTGGATCCTGGGGCCGAGTGCAAGGTTGGGTGGGCCCTGACTGAAGGGACATCTGCTTTCTGGGGAATGCCCCAGAGGGCCCCGCCTGGGGACAGGGTCATCTCTCACCTCTGCCAGTCATGGGGGACAGCCATCGCTGGGCAGGAAGGGACCTGCTGGGAGCTCAGCTGCTCACCTGGCTGTACCCCGACCTCAGCCAACACTGTGGGGCAGACCCAAAGACCACCCCAGGGCTCACTCCGTAGATGCAGGGAGGCATTCTGTGTCCTCCCATCCCCACGTGGGATAAATACTCTCAGCAAGTGGGGAACAGGCCTGCCTCAGCGGACAAGGGCTTTCTGCCCACCATGGAGTCTAAGCAGGTTCTGTGTGAGCCGAGGAGGGGGCCGGGTGGTGCCCCCAACTTCTAGTCCACATGATACTGAAGGTCCCAGAAAACCAGCAAACCAAGAACAAGAAACAGGTTCACAAGTGTTGATAAAGAAAAAACAAGTGGACGCCATCCACAGATGGTACAATCGCTTGCACGGAAAACCTGCATCTCCGACATCCTCTGGGATGAACAAGAAGGTTTCCCAGTGAACAAAGGCAGCTCCACTCCTACAGACCCACAGCTCTGAGATGGGAAATGCAGTTTGTATTTTTAAAGATTTTACTTATTTATTCATGAGAGACACATAGAAAGAGAGGCAGAGACACAGGCAGAGGGAGAAGCAGGTTCCTTGCGGGGAGCCTGATGTGGGACTCAATCTGGAAACCCCGGGATCACACCCTGAGCCAAATGCAGATGCTCAACCGCTGAGCAGCCCAGGTGTCCTGGGAAATACAGTTTTATTTTTTTTAATTTTTTTTATTCATTTACAATAGTCATACACAGAGAGAGAGAGAGGCAGAGACATAGGCAGAGGGAGAAGCAGGCTCCATGCGCCGGGAGCCCGACGTGGGATTCGATCCCGGGTCTCCAGGATCGCGCCCTGGGCCAAAGGCAGGCGCCAAACCGCTGAGCCACCCAGGGATCCCGGAAATACAGTTTTAAAAACTACACTGTTCAGAGTATCAAGAGTGTATACAAATATCTGGGAATAAGACTAACCAAATAGTTACTGCGTGCATGAGAGGGGAATGGCAACATGGTAAAGATGTAGGTAGCTATGCAGCAATTGAAAAAAAAAAAAAAAGAAAGAAAGAAAGAAAGAAAGAAAGAAAGAAAGAAAGAAAGAAAGAAAGAAAAAGAAAAACCCATGTAAAACTTTGCAAAGAGAGAGGCTCTAGAATTTGTACCAAAGAACCAAAGGTCAGGGTTAGCTGACCACAGAACTCCTAAAGAGGACAGAGTTGCGGAGGGGGCACGTCCCCCATTGGATCTGATGGTTTATTCTAAAATTACTTCCTGAATATAGGGCACTATCCTACATTCCTTCTTGAATGTAGGACGGGTAAATAAATGAATATGAAAAGACAGACCACCTAGAATTGAGCTAGCAGACGTGTGGACAAGGCACACAGCACGTCGACCTGCAGCCAGGCCCCTCGCGGCCACTGTGGGCACCCCGGCCGGTCCACGTGTGAGGTGGTCACCACGCCACCGGGCTCCTCAAACCCCCGAGCCCTGTCAGATTAAATCCCAAAGATGTGGAAAGCAGAAGAGGTGTGACCCCCTCAAAAATAAGGAGCATCTTTTCATGAGGCCGAGTGGGGAAGAATGCCTCCCACGCGGCGAGCAGCACCAGAGGGAAAGGACGACGGATGTGAAAGCAGCACAGCGTGAACTTGACTGCGTTTGGGTCATAAACCATCACCCACGAAAGGCACCACTTGGACACGACAGAAGGACAAGCCATGGGCTCGGAGGAGACACCTGCGTATCCCAGTGTTGTCACTGTGTGTGTGTGTGTTTCTTGCGTGTAATACACACAGTATGTACATGCATGTGCATAGGATATAACCGCACGCCCGCACACGCACAGAGTTGGTGAATTATTTAAAAT